AATGATAATGCATGTGTTTTATAAGCTAAGTGTGAATTCAGATCAACATAAATAATTATTTTGAAGGGTGCTTTATCAGAAATTATGTCCAAAATTCTACTCTGTATTAAAACAAGGCTTCACATTATCTATGTGAGTAATGTTAACATTAGACAGAAGAAAGGAGAACATAGTTAAAACTTCTAGAGTATGTATATTATTTGGAAATCTAACTCCTAGATTAAAGTATCTGTGTCAATGGGGTGCCGGGGTGGCTCAGTTGGTTAAGCCTCTGACTTTTGATTTCAGCTCAAGTCATGACCTCACCATTTGTGGGATCGAGCCTCATGTCTGCACTTACAATATGGAGACTGTTTGGGATTCGCTCTTCCTCTTTCTCTCTCCCTCCCCACTCATGCTCTCTCTCCCTTAAAATAAATAAATAAACTTAAAATATTTAAAATATCTGTGGGTCGTTAAGTAAGAAGAGAAAAGAACAGAGACTTTCCTCAAGCATACACACACACATACACACACACACACACACACACACACACACACACACACACATATATAGGCTGGAATATATTGGAATTGACTTATTCCAGAGCAAAGACCTATCAATAAAACATGACTACAATTCCTTTTTTTTTCTATACGTTACTCAGTGCTCACTATGATAAATATATTGACTATATTCCCTATGCTCTACTCTTTATCTCTGTGACTTTCATTTTATAACTGGAAGTTTGTACCTCTTATCTCCTTCACCTATTTTACTATATGCTATTGACTATTTTACTTTTTAATCATTTTATACTGGTTCATTAGGGGAGTAAGCCTGTTTGAGAGTAATCATGTAGACATACTTGTGATATAGCTAGTATATATTAAATAAATGTGGTAGGATACTTATATTAACCATCCAAAGGTCCAATTGCCTGCTCTATACATCCAGTGAAAATACTGGCATTGAAATGGTGAACCTGCATGAAGTTCTCTAGAATGTCAATACATTCAAGATCCCTTCTATGTATATTGTGTCTACTATGTTAAAGAGCAAGAGATTAGCACAGTCCTAAAGCTCTGTGTTCAATATAAATGTAAACTGCATTAGATCCTCCTCCTTGACCAAGATAAAAAATAATACATTTTCCATATCAACAGGACTAGCCATGTACCAGAGGCTATGTTGGTCTGTCCTAGTAAAGATACCACCTCCTCACAGAGACTGATTACACTACCCTTGGTTCAATTTATGATAGTCCATCAGCAGTGACCATGGTACTTATGGTTTTCTCAGGCGTCATTACAGTGAATTAAAGTTTTTATTAGGGATACCTTCTTTAAATAATTAAGAGTACCACTTGAATCCTTCAAATTTTTGAGTGTGCCATGTACTTTTATGCGCCTTCCTGGGTTCCAATATGGCTTCTTATTTACTATCTTGTCCAGTAGCAATGGAGTCATTTGCTTTTTCTCAGACTTTCCTTCTATAATAGCTCTTACTTTACAAGGCATAGAACCAATACAAGTAGCCTACCAGCCAAAAATTATATCCAGCCTAATTTTGTACTCTGGAACCCAGCAAGTGACCACACTATAGATCTGTGGCCACTATGACATGAACTGAGGCCAGGTTTTCATTTATCATCTAGACTTTTTACAACCTCATTTTAACAAGGGGATATGATGGCATTTTGTGTTCTCTGTTGTCAATGTCAACTAATATACAGTATCCAAAGACCTTAAAAAGAAATTAGTATCTCTCTTTCCTTTTATATTTCTAGTTTTTCTGTAAATATATTTATGTCCATTTGGCAAAGCATTGGGTGAAGAACTACTGAATATATTTGTATGTCATTTCAGGCTTCTATTTCAATGGTCACAGTTTCCCTTTTAATCCATGGACTTTGTATGTCTAAGAACTGACTCAGTTCCGCAAACTAAGAGACTGATTTTCTATTTTTTTATCTGACGTCAACCTCCTGCTTGTCTTGATCACTTTGCATTATATAAGTCAAGCAACATACTTCATGACTGTTCATCTATCTTGTCCATAGGAACTATTAGCTAATGTCAAGGCCTTTCTGATCTTACAGACATTACGCAATTATCTTCACCTAGCCACTGAATTAAATGCTATCATCTGGTCTCTGCTATTCTGTAAACTTACAAGCCACAATGACAATGGAGAGCCCCATTCTGTAACATTTCCTATCCTCAACCCTGGCCTTCAGAAGAAATACACCACTGAGCTACTCAACAATGCAATGGAGTATCCCCACTCTATTCACACATTTTATAATTTTAGACATGGGCAAATTCTCTGGGCCTTCCTAGGGAGTAGAATCAAATGGTACATTTTTTGGTCTTATATAATAAGTCAATTCTATCAGGTCTAATTTTCTGAACATTTTGAGCCCTTCCTCAATACACTACCAAGGCAGTTCTGCAATCCCACCCATTTAACCATAAGCCTTCTATTTTTCCAATTTAAATTTCCAATTGTCCCATTTCAACAGCCAACAGCATATACATATAAAACATGTTCCTTTTCCAGAGTTATCAGAGACTACTCTCATTTTTAAAAATCCCTATTTTATCCAACTATAAATTCTTTCCTCCCTGGTCCTCCAGTATCTCTATAAGCCATATTCCCAAATACATTATGTTGGTTATTGCAAGTATGTTAGCCAGAGGCAGTAGTACTTTCATTGAATGATCAATTTCTTTCAGCAGTAGTGACAGTACCCCTCTCTTTAGGGTTTACAAAGATTTAACCTAGTTATTCCACTAGAAGCAATGAAAACAGTCTGAGGTAACACATGAGGACCATAAGCATCATCATGTAAGGTATCCCCTTCATGTGAACACTTTGCTTAATTTCTAATTTTTTTTTACACTTATTTATTTTTGAGAGACAGAGAGAGACAGAACAGAAGTGGGGGAGGGGCAGAGAGACTATGAGACACAGATCTGAGCTGTCAGCACAGAGCCTGATGCGGGGCTCAAACTCACAAACTGTGAGATCATGACCTGAGCTGAAGTCGGACGCCCAACTGATTGAGCTATCCAGGCACCCCTACTTTGCTTAATTTCAATCAATGAGTAGACTTGCCTGAATGAGGAAAAATTTATGATCCAATGTTTTAAGAGGCATTAGGAACTTTCAGTCACCTTTCTTGTATACATTCCAGGTAGCACTGGTCCCAGTGGAATTAGATATACATGGAACAGACTTGAACCCAACTCAGAGTTTGGAGCTGAGCTAGTCAAGCTTAGATCAGATGAGTAGCAACCAACTCACAGACCACTGGGTGTAAAATTAAATAATTAGTATTCAAATCTCCTGAGTTTGGGAATGGCTGGTCATGCAGCAATATTATTGCAACAGCTGACTGTTACAGAATAGTATTCACTTCAGAAACTGAGCTATTAAATTAGCATATATAATTTCATAGTTTCTCCCAAGAGTCTGGTGATTTTATTATCTTAATATTTGCCGAACTAATGTGTCTATAAATCTAGAACATAGCATCTGTAGGTCACTGTTTATAAGAAGTACTATTCCCATAAAAATTAATTTTCCAATGCAATGCATATATTACAACAGAATGAGAGTTTAGCAATCATTTTTCCTAACTTATTTCAGATTCTGACCAAATAGCTAATCAGCCAAAAAATAGCTAAATAGATAGATGTGTGAATGAATGATTGGATAGAATTTAAAAGAACTTTGGTTTTCTAGAGACTTACTTTTAAATGTTTGATCTACAACTGTTTAGTTTGTTCATTTTAGCCGACTGTATAACTCACTGAGATATAATTTTCCAACTGTATAACAGGAATAATCATACCAACTTCCACAGAACTGGTGTGAGTTTATAATGAGATATACATGAATTTGCATACCGCACTACATATCACTGAATCTGAAAAACAACAGGCATTCAATCTATGCTGAATTTCCCCCCTCTTCTACTCCTCCTATCACTATATTTAAAGATGAATAATACTAAACACTAATATTTGTATTATGACTAGCTTCATAACTTTTGTTCTCATAAGAAGAGAGAAGAGACCTAATCATTTTGATACCTCTATCTTAATTTTTGTTAGACTTGTCTAGGTATATTTTTAGTATGATTATGCTGGCTTATCCCATATGTATGAATAATTTGGGAAATCAAGGAAACCATCCCTGTATTTGAATGCCAACATGACAGACATTCTAGAAATGCACACAGGGATGTTTATTTTGAATTATTGAGTTTTTCTGGCACTTTACATTGTGAAATATTAATTCATTTTGAGTGTCTTAAAAGATGTTTTGAATAAACAATGGCTACAAAAATGAAATGGAAACTCTAACCAAGAGTCTAAAATCACATTTTAAAAAGTGATTATCCATTAATTTAGCTTTTTCTAAGTGTTGAAATGGAATAAAATTTTTTAAAACAAGCAAAATTTCTGGTATAGACAGCTGCTGGCTCTTCCTTGACAGGTTTCTCTACTCTTCCATCACTGATATTTGAATTTCCTATTGACAAATTCACTTTTTCTTACTCAGCCACCAGGTTTCAGAGATGGCCCTGACCCTTGGCTCCAGAGAGGGAAGAGAATGAGGTTCTTGAGTGACGTTAGCCTATCAGCAGATTATGCTACTGATACAACCAAGGAAATCTTTACTGGTGCTTCTAGGAGAAAAAAAAGATTAGTCTTTTGAGGAAGATGCTCGAATAGACTCTCACTACATGGAAAAGAGGACATGACCTACAGTGTTCCTTTTTGATCCCAGAATAAACTTGCATGAAAATGTAATGAATCCAGAGAAAATACAGCCAAGAAGTTGAGGAGAGACTAAGCCCTGATCATATCTCTCGAGTCTGAATCTAGACATACCTGAAGTCAGAGGTTTCCCTGGACTTTTAAGTTTTCTGAGCCAAAAAATATGAGGCTTGTTTACTATATCTTGACAAATAAAGCATACTGACTGATTTTTTTTTAAGATGAAACTTATTTATTTATTAAATAAGTAAGGTTTTTGTACTCATTTTTAGAAACTCAGCATAACATATAAATCTTAGTCTCTGGAATCTTTTCTGTGTGTGAATTCTGCTTTTGCTGTTTAATGGCTGACCTTGGCAAAGTGTGTCAACTGAAGTGATATAACAAAGTATAAAGACTTACACTTAGAAATATGAAAAAATTGTTTCTCACAGTTCTAGAGGCTGGAAGTAGAGATCAGTGTTTTAGTATGATCAGGTTCTGGTGAAGGCCTTCTTCTGGATTGCAGACTGCTGACTTCCTGTTGTATCCTCACATGGTAGAAAGAGAGCAAACTGGCCCTCTGGCCTCTTCTTTTTTCTTTTTTAAGTTTAAGTATTTTGAGAGAGAGAGAGAGAGAACATGTGAGTGTGAGTGGGGAGGAGCAGAGAGAGAGGGAGAGAAAACATCCCAAGTAGACTCCATGCTGTCAGTGTGGAGACTGACACAGGACCTGATCTCACAAATAGTGAGATTATGACTTGAGCTAAAATCAAGAGTCAGATGCTTAACTGCCTGAACCACCCAGGAGCCCCTCTGGCCTCTTCTTATAAAGGCACTAATCACACTCATCAGAGCTCTGCCCTCATGACATGATAAACTTCCAAAGACCCTACTTCCAATACCTCTAATACCTTTATGCTAGGGATTAGATTTCAAGAGATGAATTGTGGGGAGACAAAAACATTCAGTACATAGCAGTAAATAAATTAATATATTTGTTCCTCAGTTTCCTCATGTATATCATAGAGATAATAGTGTCTACATCACAGGGTGGGATTAAATAAGCTAGTATATGTAAAGCACTAGTAACATCTGGTGTATAGTATATTCAATAAATGAAGCTATGATTATCATTGCCTTTAATTAATTAGAATTTTATACCATATATATTGAGAATCTTGTCATTGCACTTCTATACAACATGAGCATAAGATATTCCCTTTAAATAAGAGAAAATGTTAAAACAAATATCAATGCAAATATTCAAAAATTTCAACTCTATAAATTCAATGAACCACCAAAGGAATTTAATAAAATTTTCTTAGCTTGAATACCGTATCATCAATACAGGAATAGGTTAACAATAAATTGGAAGAAACAGAGAACTTCACTGTGTTGCACACATAAAAGTCTAAATATAAGGAAAAAATGAATTCCTGAAAAGTTATTAGTAATTCTATACATTATGTATTTAGTAAGAGGCAGGCTAAGGTATACTGAAACAACCTCAAAATATTACAGGATAAAACAAACAGAAGTTATATTATTGAATTTTTAACAAGTTTTTACTGGCCTACACAATTGTCCTCTTTAAGGTGACTCAGTAAATTAGTTTGTTTTGATCTTGAGAATTTCAGTGAAAGCCCAACACACTAGATACAGTGAGGAAAAAGAAAAATTTGGGAAATGTCACTTCCACTTTCATTATATATTTTATAACTAGGCACATGATCCTACCTAATAGCAAGGCACCTAAGAAATTCAGTCTCCCTTATGCCACAAAAAGAAAGGAAAATGGGATAGTTTCAAGCACTAATTAATATCTGTAGATTAAAAAGTAAAAATGAAATTATTTACAATCTCTAACAAAACTGTAATGTTTTTAAAAATTTTTTTTAATGTTTATTTATTTTTTAAGGAGAGAGAGACAGAGTGTGAGCAGGGGAGGGGCAGAGAGAGAGGGAGACACAGAATCCGAAGCAGGCTCCAGGCTCCGAGCTGTCAGCACAGAGCCCAACACGGGGCTCAAACCCACAAACTGTGAGATCATGACCTGAGCCGAAGTTGGACACCCAACCGACTGAGCCACCCAGGTGCCCCATGAAACTGTAATGTTTTATACATTAAAATAAAGCTCCTAATTTTAAAATTACAAATTAAACATGATCAAAGTAAATATTAATAAATAATAGTATGTCTGAAAATATCATGAAGGCTATATCATGAAAATCGTCATGAAGGAGGTATGAGTTTAGCCGCCTAAACTGTAATCACCATTGCTTAGAAATATACTATCATCTTTCTACCCTTAATCTTTTCTGATTAAGTCTTTTTTAACTGTTGCATAGTCCCTTTTACAATTGTCTTATTTCTTACATGAGGTTTCCTTCAAAACCTTTGAGCCTATGCTATCTGATAAAATTAATTCAATTTATTAGAACCTCCCTGGGAAGGCATCAACACTAAAGATTAAATTAGTAAATTCTAAGAGACAGTAAAAGATGTTTAGTTCATTATCATAACTCAGAAACAAGAACATGAGGTGATGGCCAGGATTGGAGCTAAGGTGGTTACTCTCTGAACTCCTCGGAATCTAAGTCTTTACAAGATAAGGAGTACTTCTTCCATCTGCTGGTTTCAAATACACACTTAGCAAGAACCACAATCAAACAGTTATTTCTTCTGACCACACCTCCAAACTCTAATTTGGCCTGGAGCAGAGCTGATAACAGGGCTGAAGACTCTTAGCTAGAGGTTTCCATCTCCATTCCATATTTATCATTTACTCAGAATTTCTTTAAAAACATTTATTTAAGTCCCCAAAATGAGACGGAATCACTGAAAAGTCTATGAACTTTGATTGTAGGCAACAGATTTAAAAATCTACTTGTGAATTCTCATGTTCAACAATAATGAAACTACACGTTAGTTTATAATAATTACAACATCTATAACATCATTTCAATTAAAAGAATAAAAAGTATACTAGAATAATGTCTTTAATTTTCTTTTTAACATCCATGCCCACAAATATATGTATTTTTTACTGTCATAGTTTTCTATAAGAAACAATTATGGCACAATTATTTTCCTTTTCATTTATTTATTGTTTAAAAATAGAATTAATACATAGTCTAAATTTATCCTCAAAGGTAGGACAGAGTCAATGTTTGATTGATGAAACTTCCCTTCATCACATGACAGTGTAACTCCAAAGAACTAAAGCAAAAATGGGAACATTGCCTTTGTGTAGTTATTGTTATTTGAAAATAACAGCAAAGTATATAACATAGAATATATATTTTTATATTTAAAGGAATAAAATACGAGAAATTTTTCAGAAAGATGGAAGCTTCATTTTGACATGAATGAGCAATCTTCCCTCTGTAACATAAAACAGTAGCCAGAGGAGGAAAGCTAATAAAACAGGCAGGTTTGTTATAATAGTAAAAAATTATTGCAAGTGACAGAAAACTCAACATTTTAAAATTCTTTAATGAAAATACCAGTATTAGCAAAACTGTGGAAGAAACAGAACTCTCATGTATTGTTGCTAAAAGTGTGGACTGTTAGAACCATTACAGGAAATTGTCAGCATCTACTAAAGCTGAGTATGTACCTATCCTTTGACCTGGTAATTACACACCCAGGTATGCTTCCAACAGAAGTGCATACGTATGTTCATTGGAAAAAGAGTTCCAGGGTCGCCTGGGTGGCTCAGTCAGTTGAGTATCTGACTTCGGCTCAAGTTATGATCTCCCAGTCTGTGAGTTCTAGCCCCGCATCGGGCTCTGTGCTGGCAGCTCAGAGCCTGTAGCCTGCTTCAGATTCTGTGTCTCCCTCTCTCTGCTTCTCCCCTCCTCATGCTCTATTTGTCTCTCTCTCAAAATAATACATAAACATTAAAAAAATAAAAATAAAGAAAACCGGGTTCCAGTATGTTCAGAGCATTACTATAAATAATAGCTTCCAACAGAAACTACCCAAATGGTTATCGGCAGAAAAGCAGATAAACTGAGGTATAGTCACATAATGGAATCCAGAATATCAGCAGGAATAAAAAAACAATAACTACACATGACAATATTAATGCATCTCATAAACAAAATATTGAGCCAAAGAATCCAGACCAAAAAATTCATATATGTTCCATTTATATAAAATTCAAAACTGGTGAAGCTATCTACACTATGAGACCACAGGACAGGGTTGCCCGTGGATGTTACTGATTAACTAGTGGGGAGCATAAGAGAAGCTTCTGGAGTAATAATAATGTTCTATTTCTTGACCCAGGCTTAAGTTACACAAATTTGTTCATATGGTGAAAATTCATTATTTATGATAACTCAAAAATTATACTTTAAATTCATTAACAAAAGAGTGTTGGTTTACAAACTGGCCCCTGTACATGGAGGGCAAGGAGAAACCAAAGAAAGAAGCAGACCACTCCATTGGTAGGTGGCAGTTTTAACAATCAAGGGAACGTACCTTTGAGGTTTGTCTTCAACAGCTACAAGATGAGATCTCAGCACCTACCCAACAGAATCTTAAATGTTTATACAGAGGCCTTAACTAGGTTTAGGCAAGTATACTATTCAGATGGTCTCAATAACACTTACTCTCTCAAAGTTGCATCCTTGAAAATAGCTCCTGCTGTGGGAATGGTGGACAGAACATATATTCCCAGGGTGGGGGATGGATGAGGAGAAGCTTCTGGATGTGTTGTCTGGTTTGAGCTCAGCGATGAACCAGCAGTCACACTCTCTTGATGACCTTTTTCAACAAAGAGGCATCTATTACAAACTTTAGATGTAACACAAGCTTCAAACAACCTGTTTCTCAGGTACACAAAGTGTGCCTGTTTTTCAGCTCTTTTCTCATCTGTGTTGAGTTGTGAGGCTATGCATTATGTGAAGAGCACCTCCAGCCACTACAGGTCTTTCCTTTCAAATATAAACTCAGTGGAGAAATAAATTTCTCATTTCATAAATGCTTTGTGCCTGAACAGCCTGTACTCAGCTATGTGACCATTCTTTGAGCCAATCAACAGAGCTACCTAAAATAGAATGTGCTGAATATTGTTTCACTCAAATATTCACCCAGAGTTTTGTGTGGGCATTTTCTTCCAAATTATTTGGACTGAAAAATGGGAAACAGATTTTCTATCTCTAAAAACAAAAAAGCAAGCAAACAAACAAATAAGCATTTCTGTTTACTTACCAGAAATAGAGTGAATGGACGCTATGTATCAGAGGTCAAAATAACTCTCAAACAATAGAGAGCAGATATGGTTTGATATTGAGGAGGATCATGAATATAGCTGCTCGGGTGAGCTGAGTTATTTCCCATTCCTATGGTGGGTGATGTAAGCTAGCAGGGATGATTATTGCCTGTGACATCACTGTGGTTGAAAGCATGAGCAAGCAAAGAAAGCCAGTGAGAAAATAAAAACAAAGGGGGAAACAAAAATGAGCCATCTCACAGGAAGTGGAACTGAAGTCAACAGAGACAAAGTAAGAGAGTCTATCAAGGATATCAAATATAGAACAATTTGCAAAGAAACAACAACAAAACAGAATGGATTTTCAATTTAAAATTTTCAACAGTTAAACTGAAAAAATAGTTACGGTTGAAATTTAACTTGACCAGGAATAGCTACTGAAAGAAGTACAAAACATATAAAGAGTATAAATGATGAAAATCAGTAATGAAAAATGAGTTGAGGGCATAGATAAGAGAATTTTCACCTGTATAAAAGGAGTCCTCAAATTAAAAAAAAAAGTGATAGAAGAGAAATAATATTTAAACAAATCAAGAAATTTTATTTTATTTGAAGGAGGATTTGTGCCTGAAGATTGATAAGACTCCCTAGGTCCCAAGGAGGATTTATTAAAAAGGTCATTCACTTAGATATATCCTAGGGAATATTTTGAATTCCAACAGTAAATATAAAATCTTATAAGCTTCTAGAAGAGCAAGTAACTTTTAAAGGAAAGAGAATATGACTAAATCTGACTTACTTATAACATTAAAACGTAGCAGTCAATGAAACATAATCTGCCGAGACCAAAGCAGTTATAGTCAACTTACTATTCACCTGTCAGAGAAATGGAATGATATTTTCAGGTCTAAATAGATTCAGAATATCTATCACCCATGTGTTCTGAGGAAAATAATTACGAAAAAACAACAACAAAATGACAATTAAATCAGAACTAAGATATTATAAAAGATGAGGATCATATTGAGGAAAGAGTGGTAAGTAATGACTTGCAATTTACATAATTGACTCTAAATGGATAATGTTATTATGATTGGGAAATTGTAATTGTGCCGTAAAGTAAGGTTTCCTAAAAGAAATGAGACAAATTGTGAGGAAAACCCTAAAACTAAATCAACAAAATCTAGGACCTTGAAGCTATAGAAAATGAAAAAAGAATAAAAGCATTTTAACTGTCGCATCTAGAAAAATGATATGCAACAGAAACTGTTCAAAACTACCCAATACCCATTTTGTTTCTCTTCCTTATAATAGAAATTCAATGCTACTCATGGCATGATGTATCCAAATAAAACATGACATTTTCTGCTATGTCTTATAGTTGGAAGAGCTTCGTGACCAAGTACTAAGCAACAGATGCACGTGGAGGTTTTGATTTGATGGCTGGAAGGCTACTAAATAGCTGCTGACTGAACTGAGATGTAGGAAGGCCTATTTTTCTTCTCTTGTTCTCTTCATTGATGCCTGGAACATGAATTTAATAGCTACAAGTCCTTGAAACAAAACAATAGATAGAGTCAAATTAAAAATACACAAACACAGGGCACCTGGGTGGCTCAGTCGGTTGAGTGTCCAATTTCAGCTGAGCCTGGAGCCTCCTTCAGATTCTGTGTGTCCCCCTCTCTGCCCCTCCCCTGCTCGTGCCCTGTCTCTCTCAAAAATAAATAAACATTAAAAAAAATATACAAACATGAGCACACATGTGCATATGTATGTAGAAGGAGGAAGAAAATATCGTGAAATATGCAATATGAAAGAGGAGCTTATACAGATTTTGAAAGACTACTACATACTATTATCAAGAAAAGTAACATAAAATCTAGGTGATATGGATTATTTATATGCAAAGTACAAAGATCAAAATTAGCCAAGAAATAGAAATTGTAAACATACTGTAGAAGAAATTATAAAAGTGATTAAATGTTGAAAGATAAGATCAACTAGATTTTATTGCAATATTTTTAGTAGTTAAAAAATAAAGGAAACATTAAATATTCATTTATAGAAGAGTAGTTAAACTGTTAGCACATTCACACTATGAAATATTATGCAACTATTAAACAGAATGATTTCAATCTCTATTAATGAGATCAGATTTAAATGATGTATTATTGTGTGAACAAAACAGTTTGTAGTATTGTATTAGGGAAATATTAATTAATTTTAATTTATTTTGTTTAATAATATCAAATAGCAAAACTGTGCAGTAATAATAGCAATATTGGTTTTCATGAGACACTGAATTCAAAAGATTCACAAAAGATTTAGGGAATAAATAGAGGCACAAAGAAAACATACTTAAGAGGCGATTGTACTTGTTTTCTATTCTGCAATGACAAATTACCTCAAAGTTAATGACTTAATACAATTTTTTTCTTTTATAGTTCTGGAGATCAGAAGTTTAAAAGCAAGGTATTATCAGAGATATATCCATTTTAGAGCCTTTGGGGGGAAAAAATCTATTTCCTTGCTTTTTCCAGAATCTAAAGGCAATCTACATTTCTTGGCCCATGCCTCCTTTCTTCATTTTGAAACCACATCACACCACCTTCTGGTTTAGACATCATATCTCCTTTTTCTGTCTTTGATCCTCCTGTCTCCCTTTTATAACTACCGTTGTTATTACATCAAGTCCACCCAAATAATCCAGAATAATCTCCGCCTCTCAAGATCTTTAACTTAATCACATTTGCAAAGTTCCTTTTACCATAGAAGTTACATATTTAAAGGATCTTTGTATTAGGATGTGGATATCTTTGGAGGGCCATTCTTTAGTCTACTACATCCATCAATGACTTCAATACATTAATACAATAATAGCCACTAACCTAAAATTATTAGTATATTTACTAACTTTTTTCCTACTAAACTGAGAAAATCTATATAATCTGAATGTTATGTATCCAAGCTACAAATGAAGTCAGGATGTAGAGTTGAGGCAATGCTTTCAGTTCTAAAAAGTTAAAACTAAAAACGGATTCTTCTAATAGAAACATTAAAAAAAAATAAATATAGTCACATAAATAATTCAAAAAATGAAGAAGGAAAGAAACTATTTCAGCATAGTTTCTGATTAATTGCACATAATAAAGGGAAAATAACTAGTAAACTGGCAAATGCAAATTAGGTATAAAATCTAAACCCTTCACTGAAATTATGCTATAACACTGAAAGCCACCTTAATCATGTTAATTACATGCCTAAGTATATTTTGATTGAATATACAGAGAACATATAACTTTAAATGCATCTAAGACTTTAATTTTAAGGAAAAGACAATCTTCACTTAACACATCAAGTGAAATTTGTAATTGTTATTTGTTAGATTTACATTAATAGCTAAACAAATAAATATTTTCATCACAAAATCCAAAACCATAATCAAACTGATAAAATCTGAGGTAAATTATATGATGTTTTAATAAAATAAGAGGGAGGTCCTTTCATGAAGCATCTTGTTTATAGTTCTTCTGTTGATATCTTCCATCAGGAAATATAGTACATAGAATCTGACAATTTTACTATTGGAAACAGACTGGCAGTTATTCAAGTAAATGTCTTTACAAATCAGCAGAATAAAGCATAGAAGAATTCGCTGATTTATTCAAGACATACCACTAATTAGTATGAGAGAAAAAAATCAATAACTATAACAAAGAACTCATATAATGCAGACATTTTATTTTTGAACATATCGTAAAATCCCATTGTAAACATTAGTGTTGCAAATGTGTCTGGGGAAATTAGTTTAAAGAATTATTTTATTCTAGGTTGTTTCCTCAAGAGATTTTGCTCTTATATAATAGGTGATTTATGTCATGAAAAATGTCAAAGTGGCAAGCATCATCTCTTCAAAAAAGTCTGATTATTTATATGCTAAGTAGCATTAAATTTTACAATGGCTATTTATAATTCCATAGAAAATTAGTCATGCATGACAAAACATTGAAACAACACCTATAACCCCAAATGGTCCGATGCATCAGATGTCGATGTTAAATACTACATTTGCCTTGTTAATTGCCATGTATTTAGAAAACTACTAACCATGAGCAATGTATATGTAACATATAATTGTTTTATTTATTCCTTCTTTACACTTAATGAAATAAAATTTTGTAGATTGAGAAAGTTGCTTCATTGATTTGTTCTAAATGTTCAATATGGCAGAATAAAAATGTAAACTTTTGCAATGAAATAAATGCTTTTGAAGTAATGAAAAACCAACTAGAAGATAATCACTGTAAGATATTCTCTTGATAAGTGGCTTTTAGGTAATCCTTTGGGGAATATCAAAATATATATGTTCAGTACATAAACTGAGAGGCAGACTCAGTGGTTAATTTTAAATTAAACTATATAAAGTTGGTTGTGATACTTTTGTACAAACAAAAGCATCTGATCTATTTAAAAATGTTTTTAATGAATATGTTATCTACCAATATTTGAATTGATTGTCCACTTATATAATTTTATTGACTATAATGTTTGGTATAATCCAAAATGTCTAAGACATTAAAGAGATCCTTAAGTAGAAATAAATTTCATACAAAGGAAATCATTCTGATTAAATTTGTAGGTTAAATCACTAGCTTGGTCTATGTTATCATGAAACATTATTAGGAAGAAAAGCAATTTTTTCTTGGCCATATGATTCAGAAGAGTTCTGAAAAATATATTGTTGCATTACTTTTCCTGCTGAAATTTGAATCATTATTCTTGAGACAATTCTGTTAAGCCTAGATGAATATGTTAAACAATTATATTAACAGCTCACTATTGAAAATTAAAGTTGGAGTTAGATACAACAAACAATGGAACCAGTTTGTGAAGAAGAAGAAGAGGAAGCACAAAGAAGAGGAGGAGGTGGGGGGATTTAAGAGGAAGAAGGTTGTGATGAAATTCACTGATAGATTATAGGTTGGATGAGTTGATTAACTGATATTTTTACTTTTCAACTAATGCTATTAGCATTGTGTCAAGAAATACAAAATCAATTTCTATCAAGTCATTTGTACACCACATCCTGCTTTGTAGCAGATCTTATAATTACTTATATAATTTAAACTTTATTAATTTATTCATTTTGTAACTCAGCACAAAATATTGAAAAATCTCATTCAGATATAATGCATAATAAATTGAATGAACTAACAATTGATAAAGCAACATATAGCTGTCAATGACAAAACACATACATTGGGATGTATTGGTCAAAGCCTGTCCCTGTGATAAATTCAAATGTATTATACTTCTTATGAACATTCATGACCTGAGAAGTGAATCTATCCTGCCCCGCTTTATGGCCTCCTCCATTTACTCAAGGACTCCTTATTATTGTGACCCCCAAAGCTACAAATTTCTATATATATCTAAAATGAATTTAATAATAATCATAATTTCAGGGGAAGTTTTAAAGATTAAATAGGTCATGTGTATGAAACCCTTAAGCATCATATATTATAGATATGATATATTTAAAAATTTATTTTTTATTTAATACCAAAGAATAAATTCAGCTATTTGTATATTTTTTTTCAACGTTTTTTTTATTTATTTTTGGGACAGAGAGAGACAGAGCATGAACGGGGGAGGGGCAGAGAGAGAGGGAGACACAGAATCGGAAACAGGCTCCAGGCTCCGAGCCATCAGCCCAGAGCCTGACGCGGGGCTCGAACTCACGGACCGCGAGATCGTGACCTGGCTGAAGCCGGACGCTTAACCGACTGCACCACCCAGGCGCCCCTGTATATTTTCTGAGGTTACTAGACATTTGAAACTTCATTAGCCAGTGTAATGATGACTAAAAGATACCCAGTTAAAACAATGAATATACATATGTAAGCCCATCGATAGGTGATTGATGGACAAATAGAGTTGGGCTTTGTCCAAATGGGCTATGCTGTTTCTTGTGAATCTTAGAGATGCTCTACTGAACATAGAAATAGCATTAGCAATTCAGGATTCATTAACGTAATATAACTCTTCTTAAAATTGATAGTAAAATATTTATCTTGTTTTATTGTCCAATTGTAACTTTTTACATGAACAACTTTTCATTTTCCTGTAACGTATTTATAATGGACTGAAAATGAAACGTGAATATATATATAGAAAATTCCTTGACATTTAACTCATTGAGAGCTCAAATGTAATAAAAAGACTCTTACATTCAAATTTATTTACTAATCCCTTTAAATTCAAGTATATTTCTATAAATCTGTTGTGTTCGTCCTCTCATAAGAAATACCTCTCAAAGCAATAATGTTTCAATAATTTTAATCATTGGCATTGATTTCCTTTTAGAAAGCAAAGTTAAAATTGCTTTCTAGAGTTCTCAGATTTGGGGCAATTCAGTACACTGAAATTGTAACATCACTTGGCCTTGAAGGATTTGAAAACCTAAAAGAATAAATTCAGTTCTCAAAAGTTCTTAAATAAAGGTCCCAGTGAGTATTGGGAAGAATTATAAAATTATTTTATTGTAGTTTTATAGCTGGTCAACTTGGTTTTTATCTTTTTTTTTTTTAATCCCAGAATCCATCCAGGATACCACACTTCATTTAATTGTCTTGTCTCTTGGCTGTGACAGCTCATAATTAATATTTTCAACTGATATTCTAAACATCTGATTTTTAAAAATTTTACTGTAAATTACTCTTTCCTTTTAGAATATTAAAATTTACAGTAGTAGAAATACTCTAATATTCTCAGGAGTATTTGGTGGACTCTACTCCATATTAATACGGTCTTCCTACCAATTAAATCTCAAATATATTTTGTACTACAGCATTCTTCACACAAACACTTGTACCACTGAAAGTTAATTAATATTCTTACCTTTTAAATCAGGCTAGTTCTGGTACTGTGTAGGCAAATAATTTCTCTTGAAATGTTTACTGTCTTTCCTGAAGAAATAATATAGAAATTATTTCTAAATGATCCATGGGTGTAGATACATCTTTTTATAATACATTGGTACTTGTATTGGAATCCTACCATGAATAAATACATAATAGCATCCTATTGAATCTGTTTCAGTTCTTAGTGTGGAAAACTGAGTGAAAACTCTTATTTTTGTTAAAGGTCATTCAAGAATTTGCCTCTTTATAGAATTTAGGGTACATATCAGAAAGGAGGGCTTAAATTTGGATGATTGGCATAAAAAAATCACCATAAATATCTTTGCAAATATATACATTGATGAAAAAATGAATCTATTGCAATAGTTTTGTATATAACTTTCTAATAAAATGTGGCAGATTCTAATAAAAAATTCTCTAATGGCTGAAAGAGTTGAAGAAGCACACAAAACTGTCTAAATTATTTCTGAATTAGACATTGGTCTGAAAATTTCAGCCTAAAAATTTGATAGAAAAATATAATTAAAAACTCCTGGGAAGCAACACCATACCCAAGAAAGTCCAACATGTAGAGAAAAAAGCAACATGAACAATCAGAATATATCCACCATAAAATCAAACTATTGGTGAGAGAGAATAATTTGAATAAAAATATAATAATTCTTAAAGAATTTCAAGTATTTCACATATACACACAAATTTCCACTTCTTTTTAAATATGGTTTCTATAGCTGCTATCTAATTCATGACAAATAATCACAATGTTATTTTAAATACCATTTCCAGAAGCGATCATAATTTTAATTTTAATAAAAAATTAAATTTAATTTAAATTTAAAAGTTAAATTTAATACAAAAAATAAAACTATTAATCTCACCAGTGAACATACATTAAAAAATATTAAATAAAACATTAGGAAATTAAAAGAGTAATTTATTTAAAAAATAAATACTATTCTAAGTATTTATTCTATTCTATTCTAAGACCCTCACACACAGTTGTCATACTAAAGGCAGCCAGCACCTCAGGAACATGTGTCTTCTATTTTGGTTTCTCACATTACATATTCCAAGTCTCCATTTAGAAGGCAGAACTTAGCGGGGCGCCTGGGTGGCGCAGTCGGTTAAGTGTCCGACTTCAACCAGGTCAGGATCTCGCGGTCTGTGAGTTCGAGCCCGGCGTCAGGCCCTGGGCTGATGGCTCAGAGCCTGGAGCCTTTTTCCAATTCTGTGTCTCCCTCTCTCTCTGCCCCTCCCCCATTCATGCTCTGTCTCTCTCTGTCCCAAAAATAAATAAACGTTGAAAAAAAAAAAAAAAAGCCAAAATTAGCTACTAGGCTTCTTTCTTTCCACCTGATTCAAATGCAAAAGTATACAGAGGCCATTTGCCTCAGGGGAGAAGAGGAAGAAATTGCAAGTCCTAGAGTCTAAGGTGGCTAATGTCCAACATTAAGTTCCTTTCTCTGTGTCATCAGAACATTTTTTTTCTCCTGTGTCTGTACCCAGCTACATTGGACTTGAGCTTGTCAGCAATATGTTGAGGAGGTCTGTGCATTTTTCAGTCTGAAAAGCTCTGAACTCTATTGGAGATATACTGAATGGCTGATATACTACAGTAAATTCCTTTTTTGCCTAAGCTATTTAGAAGTGCTATTTGCAAGAAAGAATTGTGACTGGCACACAGCTTATAACAGTATTTCAAGTATTTTATTTTATTTTATTTTTCAACGTTTATTTATTTTTGGGACAGAGAGAGACAGAGCATGAACGGGGGAGGGGCAGAGAGAGAGGGAGACACAGAATCGGAAACAGGCTCCAGGCTCTGAGCCATCAGCCCAGAGCCTGACGCGGGGCTCGAACTCACGGACCGCGAGATCGTGACCTGGCTGAAGTCGGACGCTTCACCGACTGCGCCACCCAGGCGCCCCTATTTCAAGTATTTTAAAATTGCATCAATCTCTCAGTAGATTCAATTCATTAACAAATTAAGAGACAAACATATGATTGCAAAAACTGGGCCAAATTAACACTGGATTGTATGATAAATGACACTGAAGATATACGCAAATTAAACCTAAATAGCATGGGGGCACCTGGGGGGCTCAGTCAGTTAAGCAACAGACTCTCAAGTCATGATCTCACAGTTCTAGAGTTCAAGCTATGTGTTGGACTCCCCGCTGGCAGTGTGGAGCCTGCTTGGGATTCTCTCTCTCCCTTTCTCTGCCCCTCCCCAGGCTTGCACACACACTCTCTTTCTCTCTCACAAAAAAATAAATAAACTTTAAAAAACAAACAGAAAAACCTAAATAGCATGTAAGCCGACTTTTACCAAAATTTAATGACAATGCAGCCCAGGGCCTATATCTTATAGATATAAAACTAGCAATATATATATAAAGATATATCCTGTAGCATATTCATAGTGATAAAAAATTACAAAGTGAATGTACCTTAATAATAAAATGGTTAAGTAAATGATTTGTATCTCAGACATGTAATATTATGAAGGTATTACAAAAAATGACAATTCTATTTGTCTATTTGAACAATTTTCATTTTTCTAAATAATTCCATCAATTATTGAGTGAAAATAGAAAGATACAGATTGCAGTATATAATACAATCTTAGTTTTAAATTCAAAACATGACAAAAATATATTCCTTGTATATAATATATATATATATATACACACACACACTCATAACCTTATGTATAAGGTTACATGAATCAAGAGAAGAGAATGAAAGAATAAACACTTGGTTCTTAGCATGGGTTAGAACTTGGTCAGGGAACATGGTGAGATTAATGGCTGAGGTGTTATTCTTGGAGTAGATAGAAGATGTCAAGAAAGATAAAGCTTGCAAAAAGGAAAAAAGTAAAGAGATTCAGATAACACAGAAACAAAAACAAAAAAAAAATGTAATACCCAAACATAAAGCAGCATGTGTGCTATGACTCGTTATGTAATTTGCATGCATGATGATATTAGCTTGAAAATGAAAGACACTGTTTCTTTATAGCATAAACATATGAGGCAAATATCATGAAAAACTCTAAAGTGGAGGGTACGTGCCTCAAAGGAATGGACCATAGTAGGGGAGGGAGACCACAGAATTACTGTTCATTGTTGGTTTTTTGTTGTTATTCATTTGTTTTGTGTGATAATGAGACACTTGTATTCTCCCAGAGAAGCTGAAAGGTGTGTTCTAGTATGTTCTAAGAATGTAGTTTGATATGAACAGAGAAGAACTTGGGGAAGTCATAAGACAACTAGATTCTTTGGGAATCAAAAAAGCCTTAGGAGAGCTTTTACCTGGGCCAGGAATAAAACAGCTGTTTATGTTTCAACTTCACACAAATTTACAGAGAGTAATTCTCTTATCAGAGTACCTTGAATAGTGGTACAGGTGGAGATCACCACCCCAACGGCCATCTATGAAACTGGGGAATGGAGAGAAAAATTTTTATTTATTTATTTATTTTTAAGAGTTTCACTTTGGACCTAACTATCAAATGTCAAATTCCTCAAATTCACAGGCAAAACAAGCGTAAACTTATGAAATGTCTTGATCTAACTTTCAAAATATTTTTAATTGAGACATAATTGGCATATAACAATATATTAGTTTCAGGTATACAACATTATGATTGGATATTTGAATATATCGTGAAATGATTACTAAATAAGTCTAGTGAACATCCATTACCATAAACAGTTACAATTTTTTCTTATGATGAGAACTTGTAAAATCTACTCTATTAGCATTACTGTTTGTTTTTATTGTTGTTTTTGTTGTTAGCCTTTAGTGTCACTTCACAATTTAAAGAAGATACATCTGTTGCATTGGTAAAGTTAATACAAAATAAAGTTTAAAGGGAAAATCAAATGTTCTTCATGTGGATCCTTTGCCTTATTTTAATGGCTTTCCTCTATTTAATTGGCTGCTCAAAAACATAAACCAAGAAAGAAATTATGGAAAAAATGAGGCTCACAATAGTAAGAATATTTTAATTTTTCCCTTTTTAACTACACTGAAAAAGTAACATACACATAAAACTTTCCTGTTTTTCAAAACATGTAGTAAGGCCAGGAACTGTTTTTAGACCTCAAAATATTTTTCTAGCTAACCAAACTACAGTTTTCATTTCTGTTTATTTTTAACAAATTACACTTTACCATTGAGCTATCTCCCATGCCATGCCGTCCCCTTCCTTCATGCTTTCCTGGATCTTCCTTAATTGCTTCTGCTCATCCTCACTGCAGTTCTGGGTTATTCACCCTGAGGTTCTCCTATATTGGGTTCACTACTTTCTTAAAAGTAGCTTTGTGAATTAAATATTTACCTTAATTTGAGTATGTCATCTCTTCTTGATATCCTGAGAGATAAATTTATGTCAGAAGTTGTAATTTCTTTTGATGATATGGATGATGCCTTGTGCATCTTTTCATCTTTGTATCTATCCAGGGCAAAGTTCCTTCAGTGTACTAGATGCTTAATAAATACGAAACCAATTGTTACAGATATCATCTTGAGATGAACATATTACAGAGAATTCTATGCATTATATATAATCTTAACAGAACCACTGATTGTCTTCATTTAACCAGCAGTGGAAATATGTTAAGAGTTTATTTTGACACTACAGTGACTCCAAACTGAAAAAAAAAGGTAAAGCTGCCTAAAACACTTAAAAGAGTCCCCCTTTTAACAGTAGATCATACACAATACAAACTATTCAAGGATTTTTTCTTAGAACATTATTTTTAATTACTTAAAATTGAATGTGAGATATAATAATTTTTAGTAGTTCACTAAATACCAATTATCGTGAAATAAAGTCTATAGAAGTAAGATGAATCAATGTGGGAAAATAGTTTTTATTTTTCACAAAATGTTGAAATTCTAAATCTAGAAATCACTACCTGGCATTTTCACTTTAATGCATTTTCCTCTTACATTTTCTACTGATGCTTCTGAAAGACACTTCTGATAATACAAGTCCCTCTAGTGGCATCTGAAGTGAAATTTGTAATATAAGTAAA